TCTTGTAATCTCTTCTGACAGGTTCGATCCAGGTGTCCAATTTTGCCACAGTAGTGACACAGATTCATAAGTTTTTCATGCTTAAATCCAACACTTACCATTTGATCTCCCAAACGGATTTTGGCAATTCTGGGAATGGGTTCATCCAATTTCAGAGTAACTAGAAGCTTTAAGATTTTGCTGCCATGGCTTCCATTATTCACCATCACTACATTGAGTACATCATTGAAGGTCTTACCTATTTTCAGACCAACCTCAGTACTGAGCCAATTTAGAGGGAGATTAGTCACCTACACCCAGAGATTTATTTCTTGAAAGCATGGATGAGAGCTGTTGAGATTGTGAGTCCATTCCCTCAGAATTAAGTACTGATTCTCAAAGCTCTAATTTGATCCTCCTGCTACTCTTATTTTATCTTCCTTGCTTTGAAAAATGAACTGGAAGTAATTAGGGCTAAGTTCTTTCACTTCCATCGGCTGATTGAGCCTCCAAATGTGCGTCATAGCTCTTTTCACCCCGAACCATCCAGCCACTCTATCCCCAATTATTTTCCCAAATAAACTCCTTTGGCATTCGTCGTCGCTCAATTTGATGTCTCGCTAAGAAATGTCGATAACGTTGTCCTCCCTTTCAGAAAGAGAAAAATCTCCCAGTCTCGACGATAGATCGTCGTCTGGATTCTCATGAGTTTGGTCCTCCATCAAAAACCCTAAATCGGAAATAAAAAAAAAAACCCCAAACCAATAAACCTCCCCAGAAAAGATAGCAAAAGAAGAAGGATAACAATCAAAGGAATCAACAATCAAAAGAAGCAGCAATCGGAAGAAAATCTAAAGCTCTCAACGAGAGAATCGCAAGCTCTCAACGAGAGAATCAATCTACACATTTTTTCTAAATTATGGGTTTATTTCAATCATTTTTACTAACCTCACACGGCACAAAATACTCAAAACTTACTTAAGATTCTATACATAAAACAAAATTATCTACTTTTTCTGCAAAACCACTAAATAAATTGCAAACAGGATGTCATAATCTCTTTCAAAACGAAACGCTATGTTTCTTTCCACCTTTTGCAGCAAACCCAGTGTAACAGGAACAAGAAAGCACAGAGAGAGCATTAAAAAAAAAAAAAAAAACAACACAATCAACATTGCAGCTCATTGAGAGTGAGTGAAATACTTCAGTTTATTAGTGTCAAAAGAACTATTTTCGAGTCCATGATCACAATAAAGACAACTCTCTTCATTTCACAGGCTCCGAACATGTTGGACCTCAAGACAAAAATAGTGGTATGCTAACAGCATATTTGTATTGTTCATGATTATGTCTCCTATAGATACTTTGTATTGAATTTTCCAGGGTATTAAGGAGCTTTGAAACTTATGGAAACACCCGTCATATTACACTATAGAGTTAATATATTATCTATTTTGCTTATTTATAACTTTTATTGTTGCATATCAAGATCCTAAGTTTCCTCTTCCTAACCGAAGTGCTCAGATTTGGTACCTTCAGAATTACATTATTCAGGTCAGTCTTACGCCTTTCTTGGTTAGATAATAATTTAGCCATTATAACTCGAAATCAGGCATTTCTAGCAAAGTTAAACATGAATAATAGTACCTCATGAACCGGTTGACTGTCATCGACAGGATCTCTAACAGTTATAGCTTCTAAAAGAAAAATACGGAAGTTGTAAACATCACTCTTCTCGTTTAGGTAGCCACTACTTGTATATTCCGGTGCTACATATTTGCGTAATTTTTTTTTTTAAAAAAAAGACAGTAGAGAAGAAGCATTAATATTTACTGAATATGCAAGAACTGAGACCCAAAGCAGATTAAATCATATCAAAATACTCACCCAAAGGTTCCCATGACTCTAGAGGAAATATGACTCTTTCTAGCACCGAGCAAATTTGAATGTCCAAAATCGAATATTTTTGCATTGAAATCATCATCCATCAGTATATTGCTTGTCTTGATGTTCTTATGAATAACTTTGGGCTCAAATCGCATCATGCAGATACGCGAGACAGTACATGACAAGACAACATATGATTCGTCAAATTCGTGAACAAACACAAAAATAAATGTGAACTTACGCTTCAGTTGTTCCAACCAAATCTTCACATGTCCCTCACATGTGAGATGCTCGAGATGAGCCATACCTCCATGCAGCCATTGCTCGAGATTGCCATTGTTAATGTACTCATACACCAATAACCCGAGATTAAGTTTATTTCAAAAAAAAAATATTCTTGGGAAAATGAAAATATCCATGGTAACATCTACTAATTAAGGTCACTAAATAGGAAATGCAATTGCTGAGGAAGTTCAATGTAGTAACAATAAATTAATAATACCCATGGGTACCCTCAATGCAATAACCCAAAAACTGAACCAAGTTTTTAGGACGGAAATGACTGATAGTTTCTACCTCCACCCTGAACTCTTCCTCTGTCGGATTCTACATATAATACCAAAAAAATATACATTTAGAAAATCGCTGACACAAATCAAATGAAGTCATGAGCTATGAACATTCAGGCAATAATTTCTCTCACCACGTTGTCTCTGGAGGATATTGATCTGGTTCATCCACCGTCTGTGTATTGTCGCAAAAGCCAACCCGTAAGTTGCATCCTTCCCGTCATCACCCGAGGAGATTGATGTGTCGGTGGGGGACTTGGCGTGTTAATTTTGAGGACTAGCGCCGACAGGAATTGGGGCAATGCTATTCGTGCAGGTTTCATCATCTATTTTATGAAGCCTAAAGTGGCGAGTAACAGTTCCATGGGTTGTCTCAACCTCGATTGTCTTCCCATTGGGGCATATACCTGAAACCAACAAAGCCCAATATCCTTATATAATATTACAAACACATTGCAGGTCAAATAATGTATAGTTTTGGACCTTTTCAGGCGATTATAGACCTTAGAAGACAGTTCGGATTGATCAATAAAAATTAACTTCAATGCCTTTTTTTTTTGTTTATGAGTTTATCCAATTTATCGTGCATTAAAAGGTAACATGTCGCTGATTGTGAACCCTCAAGCGGCTCATGATATTGAAACTGGCCCTTTTCATCTTCGAGCAGCCAATGTTTATTCTTGGACTTCTCCTATGCATGCAGCCATATGATCTTGGAAAGGAGGTAGAAATAAGAAACAGGAATTACTGGGAAGCAAGATAAAGCTAATCATCTATAGACACTAAATCAACAACCAGACTATTATGTTGCTAACATTATTCGCTAAAGCAAGTTTTGTAAACTACTTTTAAAACAACAGTTTCATTCACTTTCTAAAATGTAATTCAAATATTCAATAAATAACGATTAATGTCTAGTAGGAAGATTCCATGACACTAATATTATAATGTATCAAACTTGTTATAATTAAATTTGTACTCATAAGAACTATCATAAAAACTATCTGATGAAACTCCAACATGAAATCAATAGCTAGGATTAAAATTGACTTGAGAATTATCACATCTTCCTTTGGCCTGTTTTGTAATAAACAAACAAGGAATTTGGGCAATTGCCAAAATAAGTGCTTCAACACATTGGTTAGTGAATTACCCTCAAGGTATAAATAACTTAGTAACTTGGTGCCCCTGCAGACCTTCTTTTTGCTTCCAATTGCACTGTAGCACTGCAGGGATCCTTACCGCTGGTGACGAGGGACACGTAATAGGACCAAGGGCGGGCTTTGAGAAAAAGGCCTTTGCCTTTGACTGTAGGCATAATAGACATTTTGTTCTCGGAGATAATTACATTTTGATTGAGTTTTTGATATTAATAAAAAGCCAATTTGAGTTTTACTCACATCTCGAATGAATTCCAGAACATATTCGAAGAAATTCTGACCTCCGGTCGGAATGCTTTGTGGGTTTCGAACAACTATAGTAGCTGAACTTAATAAAATAAGATTCAGACCGGTGGAATGCCCGCTTTGCCTGCTCTTTGTCTCCTCTACTGGAAAACACGAAATGCTATGGTTCTTACATATAATTTTTTAAGAAGTCATTCGCGAGATCATGCACCCTTCTTTCCGGTAAACCCAATGGGAACCAAAAAACGGGGGTACCACATTGGGCATGTCACAAGAGCGAGGCGAGTAGTACGCCAGAGTGAGCCGCGAAATGCACTGAACAAGCAACGGATTGAGCAACTAGCGCGAAAGCCGTTGCGCTAACGCACATCTGTTTTCTATTCTTTTTCTTCATTTTAGCCAGTTGAAGTCCTAAGGCCTTCCTTCTTCAATAATCTTTCGCTTCGAAAAGTTTGAGATTGTCCCAAAACATGTCCTTACTAACCGAGTAAGGCCTAACATAAACGAACATTATAATAGCCTGGCTGAGGCTAATCTGCAAAAATCCCAATACTTCCCCACTACCGGAGCCACAAAAGAAAAAGAAAAACAAAACATGCGAATCTCTATCTTCAGTGCGAATCCCTATCTTCTGTTCCGTTCCAATAACGATACATGGGACGAAAACGGTGAGTAAGTTCGGTCGCGAAACACCTTGAAAATCTGTCTGAGGGCGGGTTAGTATGAGTTCCTTTTGTGCAAGAAAAAAGAATAGTTGGCAATTTCGCTTTACTTTATTACTTATTTTATGGTACGATACATTAATAATAAATCTGGTTTTGGGCTGGCTACATAGATACATTCAATCGAAAGAAGCATTACGAACAGATACCCAGTATGCAAGTGGCGCGACCTGGTCCGAGAAAAGATGGACCTCAAGGCTCCCCAAATAAATCAAGAACCACCATACATTTATCATTAGGAAAAAACAACCCTATGATCACACATAAAATCATACGGCTCAGCGACTACTTTCGGGCTAGTTCGTCGCCTTTCTGTAGTAAGTGCTTGATCTCAATCTTGGAATTCCCCTCAAGTGGTGGCCAAGCGAGCAAAGAACTCTGAAGTCAAAGGCCAGTCTAGCCCAAGGCCATGATCAGTAGCTGGTCCGAGAGGATGATCAGCCACACTGGGACTGAGACACGGCCCAGACTCCTACGGGAGGCAGCAGTGGGGAATTTTCTGCATGGGCGAAAGCCTGACGGAGCAATGCCGCGTGGAGGTAGAAGGCCCACGGGTCGTGAACTTCTTTTCCCGGAGAAGAAGCAATGACGGTATCTGGGGAATAGGCGGAAATTGGATGCAGTTACTAATTCATGATCTGGCATGGACAGAATGAAAGCGCGAATGCTTGAAGAAATTGGGCCGAACGCTGCCGGAAGAGAAAAAGTAATGAATCCCGCTTTCAATTAAGAATTAGGATTTTCGGGATAAAAAAAAAAAAAA